TAGGAGCAAGAAGCTAGTAGTAACAAGTGCCTTACTAGTAGTAACAATGTTTGCTATTAGAAACAATGTTCGCTACTCTCAGGATTTCATTCACAACTTCGCCGATGGGATCTTCTTGGGCTTTGCCTTCTATGCCTGTGACGCCTCTTTCGCCTGGTCCATGGTGGGAGCCACGATTGCGCACGAGCTGCCACAAGAGTTGCTGGGCGGAGACGTTGCGCCACCGGTTTTCTCGGGATTGCGAAGCCGCGAAGCGTTCGGAGCTCAAAATTCGTGACTCTTCGGATAGGGTTTCTATTTTTGGCCGACCTCCCTCCAACCTGATAAGCAATGGCTAGGGCCTCCATGAGGCTTTTCGCGAGCACAAGAGCCATCGGCCGCTCGCTCATGGGCTTCGAATCGTCGCATCTCACACAGGGCTCCAAAAGGTGTCGGTTTTCTCGCTGAACGAATGCCGTCGAACGGTTTCACCCCCTCGGCATGGATCCCTGTGCCAAATGTGGTGGGATTCCTAAGCTGGATGGTCGAGATGCTCACTGCCAAGATGTGGAAGCTTGGCACCTCAAAGATGCTTTTTTGCCGACCTCCCTCCTATATTAGCAATGGCCTCCAACCTGATAGTGATGACCTCCGTAATTAACAACAATGGCCTCCAACCTTTATGGCACCTTAAAGAGTACTCCTGAGTATGGGACATGGGTCTTGCAGGAGAATAGGGCCCCTCTTACCATCATTTGGCATTCAGATCATTCAGGTGTCAGGTGTCTCAGTCGAAAAAGGGAGCCTTTTCCGTGTGATCCTTTGTGCAAAAAAGGAACACTTGCGGCGCTGACCTCCAATGCCGAATGGAATGCTTGCCCTCACTCCTCGCACCACCTCCGCCCCGATTTCTCCCTGTACTCTCCGAGATCGAGGACCAAGAAGCTTCAGCACGGTTTCACTACTGGGGTGCCATCCTGTTGTTGCTTGGAAATGACACCGCCTGCTTGAATAGTCGTGTGATGTCGTATGTCACTGACTCGGAATTGGAAATGCCTCAGAAACCATCAGCAAACATTGTGGCAAGAACCACGGTCAACACAAATACAGACCGCCTCACAACAACCTGATAGCCCCATTTTTTTGTTTTACTCAGAGGCTTCTTCTAAGCAAATCAGGTTGTCGCCAGTTGTGATGGCCTTCACTTGCGAAGCAATGCGACTTTCCTTTCGCTTTGCCAAAGAGATGTGTATGTCGACACCCAAGATCAGCTACAGATCACTTGAAGAAAATGAAGAGCAGGCGGAGGACTTGGAGAGTCCGATGATCGCAACAAAAACAGATCATCCATTTAAAGGATCGAGCAGTTGTTTCACAGTTGCACTCATCTTCTACCACCTCATTTGTGCTGGCATAGTGGCTCTTGCCATTTGGAGGGGTTGGCTTTCAAGTGAGGGTGGCGGATTAGCATGGGAACTTTGGGCGCTGTGGCAACATCTGTGCTTGTGGATGCTGTTCATGCAAAACCTTGTTCGGTGTGCGACGCTTGATGCTTGGACGTAAGACTTGAAGACGAATAGTTCCTGTTTTTGTGTTGAAGCCGTGAAGCCATTTCAAATTGTGGTTTCGACCCACTTCGCTTCAAGGATAGCGATGCCTTGGCAGCATCGACTTGCACTTCCGTGCTTATGTTCACAGCACCATTAGTCAGTGAACTGGCAGATACCATGAAAGATTGGGTAGTCACAGGGATTTGCATCCTCCATGCCAAGACATGGATCGGCTTTGCCGTTGGAGCAGCGATGGTCGGGCTCGATGAGCTTCGCATCAAGTGTTTGCACAGAAAGCGTGAGGTGATTTCTCTTTCTTTCTTGCTGCTGTTCGCATCGCGGCGGCAAAGACGGCAAACGATCTCATGCATTTTTCGGGCAAACTGCCGCCCAAGTTCCGCCGACCCTAGACAGGCATCGAAAACCGAGTAGGTGTGGATAGTCTGATCGTCCTGTAACATGTAACATTGAAGATCAATTAGTTCATGGCCGTGGTGGGCTTTTGCTTGGGAATGATTTCGCAAGAAGCTGTGGAGGACCAAGGCTGCGTGAAGAATGTGAGCAAAGATGTGCAACCTTGCTGTGAACTTCACGTCTCTCACGCTAGACGACAGGGTGGCCCGAAAGCACAGTAGAAGCAGAGTGTGTTGTGAAAAATGAATGAGGATGATGAGGAGGAGAATGATGAGGATGAAGATGATGATGAAGATGAGGAAGTTATACCTGCCATCTTTTTAATCTCATAGTGCAGGCTGGAGCCAGGTAGTCAGAGAGACCAGTGACGAAGAGTCATGTCATCCCACGAAGTTGATGTCAGCCAAGGCCACAACAATCTGCATGGCACAGCGTCATCGCCAACCTAATTTTGCCGCACCATGTGGCACAGACTAGATGCAACATGATGCAACCATCCATGAAGCCCCATTGACCCCACCATTCATCCCCCTAACCTTTACACGCCCTTCCGTTTAATCACGGACCAGCGACGTCGCAGATGTAGCAGACATCATTTCGCCAGTTCGACGCTTGGCTCGAAGCTGCCAGTTCTGAGTTCAGAGCTCCGCGAAGCAATTAGGAGCAAGGACGCTACTAGGGGCTCCTGGCATCGCTACTAGGAGCAAGGACGCTAGTAGGAATGTGTTTGCTAATTCTGAGCCCAGAGCTCCCATAAGCTACTTCGTTTTGCGACAGTTGCACATTCTGTCTGGCAACTTCCACCATGAACTTTTGAGGACAGGTGCACACTTTCGTCACTTCCACCTTGATACCTTGTTTTTGTTCACGGGGTCAATGGTGACGCGATGGTGAGAGTGCGATTTTTGAAAATTCCATTGTAGCACCAGCAGGGCCACTAGGGAGAGCGCAAACTCCGCAGAATAGATTGTTGGTAGCGTCCTTGCTCCTAGTAGCGCTCTTGCTCCTACAGGTTTTGTGATGTTTTGTGCACCCAGAAGATTTGCGCAGCAGGTTAATTGCAAACGAAGATGATGTTGGATGGGACATGGGGTCGGGGGGGTGGATGTCTTTCTGCATCCGTGACCGATTTAGCTCATGAGCATCATGATCTCTGTTTGAAAACATGCAACCCAAACAGTCTGCTGAACCCAGCGAAAAGCAAGGACATCTCTGTTGGACGTGGTCCTATCAAACCTCTATAGTCTATAGTCTATATATACTCTATACCAATCCGACGGAAAACCCAAACGCCTCAAACATGCTTTACATCGCAAGGACTTATATTTCCAAACAAACGAAGAACATGGAATGAACATGTGCGAATCCTTCCTATAAAGAAAGCTCACGTTGCCACACATGACATTCAACAAATATAACCATAACAACGTTAAACCAGTCGCATTATATAGAAAACATTAACCGACCCAAACATCAATAGTTCGTAGGCTCGCAGATTACCTGGTTCGCAGATTATCCAAGTGCAACCAAGAACATCTCGTTTCCAATCAACCAAGAACATCTCGTCAATGGGAAGGGCATTGGCAATGACATTTCCCTAGGGCCTAGGTTGAAGGTTGACGACGACATTCTTTCTGGAAATCAGCACCTTCCTGTTGAATACGAGGAGTTTCAAGACAAATGGGGAAATGCAAATTCCCCCGCGTCAAGGGTTCGCCAGGGGCAGCAGAAAGCCGCGCTCACCTCACTCGACATGCGTCTCCGCAGAGGGTTTAGCAAGCGCACGAGGGTTCGCGTAGTACCAGAGTTTCGCGCGACCGATGGTCTCGGGACAAGGTCGCGTTTCATGAGCGTCGGCCGGGCCAGCCCGCCGCCTCAAGCCAAGATTAGAAAGATGTCGAAGTTGTAGTTTTGTAGGTGGGTCTCGGAAGCGTCTTCACCTGTATCTCAACACCTGTATCCAAACACCTGTATCTAAACACCCATAACCTGTACCTACACCCCTGTATCCAAACAGCTGTATCTATGTAGGTGTGATGTAGCAGTTCCATCACCTGCATCTCTGCAGCTGTATGAGAATGCTGACGCCGCTGATGATGGGGATGGTGGTGATCATGACAGTGGTGATGATGTTGATGTTGATGTTGATGTTGATGTTGCTGCTGCTGATGATGATGATGCTGATGCTGATGCTGATGCTGCTGCTGCTGCTGCTGCTGATGATGATGATGATGATGATGATGTTGATGTTGATGTTGATGTTGATGATGATGATGATGATGATGATGATGATAAGGGCCACTAGCTTCAAGCCCCATTCCATCAACTGGAACGGGCTGGTGCGGGACCCCGTGCCACATGGTCAACGTGGACTTTTTGACCACCTTGCTCCACGAGGACCTCCTGTACCGGCACTTCATCTGGCTTCCACGAGGACAACTTCAAGAACCTCACCACAAGACTGTCCCAGCGGGTGGCACGGTCATCCTGGCTGCGGTTCTCTGTTTTCAGGTGATTAACCTGTTTATCCTCCGGAACTTTGAGACATACCAGAACACCTCTTCCTTCCAGGTCCTTGCACCTACAGCACGAGCTAGCTGGGGCCCCGAGCCCCCAGCCAGGGCAGGCATTCTCCTCCTCCTTCTAGGTGGACTATCCGCCGACTACCTTGAGGACTATGTGACCAAGCTGAATGCACATGCCGTGCCCTGGTGGCCTGAGGGTTCCGAACCAGCCACACGGTTCGGTGAAGCCTCATCAACCTTTGCCAAACAGGACAGTTCAACGGCAAAGCCAAGTGGCCTTGGATCCACACACCAACGTCTGGAATTTTACCAGCGCATTCCCAAGAAGAAATCCTACATACGTGCTCTCAAAAGGGCTCAGCTCCATGGCACACATGGTACAAAGGGAAGCTTTATACAGCACAGATGCTTGGAGTAACTCCACTACCCTGGCAACCTCAGGAGGATCCACCGGCCCCCTCGGGAGCTTTGAACGTTCCTCCTCCTGCCAAGATCAGGAAAAACAGACTCCAAGGACTCAGCTGGAACATTGGCTCCCTGAGCACCTACAAGTTTGACATCCTACGGCAGTGGAATGCACACCCAACGGATTGACCTTCTCCTTCTTCAGGACACTAGATGGGGATTCACAGGTGATTGGTCGGACAACACGTTTGCCTATATACACAGTGGTTCACAAGACAGGGCAGGTGGGCTCATGACCATCATCAGGAAGGACTTTTGCCCCCCG